ACTCAGTTCGAAGTTATGGCAATAGAATATCGTCATCTTGTGAATTACAGCTTTTAATAAAGATCTCCTTATACCTACTGAATTTTATTATTCAAAATTTGTGAAGGCTCCGCGAAACGACTTGTTAATCGCTATTATGTCTTTAGTTTTAGTATACAATATGCTAATTACGTACTCGCTTTGATTAACTACTTTGAAATATTACCAAATACACAAACAGAACATAGCCGCACATAATACAGAAGAATGTAACTTGTGGTATCATTCAACAAAATAAAGCAATCTTAAATCTACTTAAGGTAAACGCATCAATAAAACGTATTGACTTAAAATCGATACACACTTTAATGCGGCTATAACACATGTATTGTTTCCACCCCACGGTAATAAAAATGCTATTCAAATTATCCTTACAATAAAAACGTGAAGTGTATCACTCACTTGGATTACCACCGAAAGTCAGTTTACACCGTTCGATTACATAAATAGTGTATGGTCGTTGACATCAATACACGTCCTCCCACTAAAAGTGCACCTCACTAACATCCGAGGTCTGCACTCAAATCTCGATTCGGTCCACTACCACCTTGAAACCGACAAACCGCAGCTGCTGTTCCTCACAGAGACGCAGATCAGATGTCCGACTGACGCAGCGTACCTCAGCTACCCCGGGTATACTCTGGAGCACAGGTTCGTACCTCGTGCCGGAGTCTGTGTGTACGTTCGCGATGACATCTGTGTCAAGCGTCTCAAGAACCTTGAGGCACCGAGTTTTTCAATTTTATGGCTTCTGGTTGACACAGGAGTTACACAAATAGTGTACTGCTGTGTTTACCGATCGCACAGTGGAGATCAGGAGACGACCAAGCTGTTCCAATATCTAAGTGAGACGTCTGATGAGATTCAGCATAGGTACCCAGCGGCGCAACTAGTCATTCTGGGGGACTTTAATGCACACCATCAAGAATGGTTGTTCCCATACCAGAAGACCGATCACGCTGGGAGAGAGACGCGTAAACTTGCGTTAACGCTAAGCTTATCCCAGCTTGTCAGTGGCGCCACTAGGATACCAGATGTTGAATCCCATACGGCTAATTGCTTGGACCTTCTGCTGACAACTGATCCGGACCGATACTCTGTGGTTGTGGAGGCCCCACTGGGTACTTCCGACCATTGTCTGGTGAAAACTGTATCCGTATACTCCCCACCCGATCAGGGCCCTAGTGGTATGAGACGGGTGTGGCGATACAAGTTAGCAGATTGGGACGAAATGCGCCATTTCTTTGCGTCATATCCCTGGCAGGCGTGCTTTACTTCAGGAGACTCGTCGAGCTGTGCTGATGCTGTAGTCGAGGTCTTGCGTTTGGGTATGGAGTATTACATTCCATACTCTGATGTACCCAATGGACCCCAAGCTCGTCCATGGTTTAACGCTAATTGTAGTTGTGCTGAAGCACGTAAACAGTCCGCGTACCAAGCTTGGGCAGATGCTCGACTACGCAAAACTCCGAGTACTCAGAACATGAAGAAAGCTTTTAATAAGGCCGCCAAGAAGTGCAAAAGCATGTTACGTAGGGCCAAGTTCGACCATGTGCGCCGCATAGGAGCCAAGCTTGCCTCTTATCCAGCAGGCAGCAAATCCTTTTGGTCCCTGGCCAAAGCGGTCGAATCGAACTTTTGTCGCCCATCTTTGCCACCTCTGCTGAGGCCGGATGGTTCGCTGGCTCATACTGCGGAAGAGAAGGCGAATCTCTTTGCCTCACTCTTTGCAGAAAATTCGCGTCTAGATGCCGCAGGGACCCTACCACCTACTTTACCTCAGGCTGGCTGCACTATGGCGCCAGTTCGCATACGCCAAAAAGAGGTACTTAGAACTCTGCGAAATCTAGACGCGAATAAAGCTAGCGGGCCAGATGGAATTCCAGCAATAGTCCTGCGTAACTGTGCACCTGAGTTGTCTCCTGTTCTCACACGCCTGTACCGCCTCTCACTTGAGACTGGTGTAGTTCCCAGGTCGTGGAAGCTTGCAAACGTGCAACCTGTACCAAAAAAGGGAAGCAGAGCTGACCCTGTCAACTATAGACCTATCTCAGTCACTTCCATACTCTGCAAGACTATGGAACGTGTACTCAACAACCGTCTCCTATCGTACCTTGAAGACAACGATCTCCTCAGTGATCGCCAGTACGGATTCCGACGAGGGCGATCTACTGGGGATCTTCTTGTGTATGCCTGTCACATATGGAGCGAGGCTATAGAAAAGCAAGGCGAAGCACTTGCAGTGTCTTTGGACATTTCTAAAGCCTTTGACAGGGTCTGGCACGCAAGCCTTTTAAGCAAGCTTCCCTCTTATGGGCTTCCCACTGACCTTTGCAATTGGATCTCGGATTTCTTGAGCGAACGTTCGATTCGAGTGGTCTTAGAAGGCTACTCTTCCGAACATATGGCGATAGATGCCGGAGTTCCTCAGGGTTCCGTACTGTCTGCAACTCTCTTTCTGCTGCATATCAATGATATGTTAATTCCAGGTACCTTTGCGTATGCTGATGACAGCACAGTTGTAGATAGGTACTTGACCAATGCAAGGGTCAGTGGAGAGGAAATCCAGTCTTGTCGAGAGTCCATGGTTAGCCGTTTGGATTTGACACTCCAGGCAGTCTCCGATTGGGGCAATGCCAATCTTGTCAAATTTAACGCTACCAAAACGCAGGCGTGTCTATTCTCCACAAAACGGAGTCCCTTTGAGCTGACTCCGACTTTTCGTGATATATCCATACCGATAGCCGATTGTCTCCAGCTACTTGGAATGGACCTGTCGTCCAATTTGAACTTCGGCAGATACATTGAATCCACGGCCAAAAATGCAGCAAGGAAGCTTGGGATCCTTTCCAGGGTGAGGCGGTACTTTACACCGGGACAGTTGCTCCAGCTGTACCAAGCACAAGTCCGATCGTGCATGGAGTACTGCTGCCACCTTTGGGATGGCTCTGCGACATATCAACTGGCCACTTTGGATTCAATTGACAACCGTGCCAAGAGGCTTATAGGTGACTCGGAATTAGTGGAGGCGAAGCTGCAGAGCCTTGAACACCGCCGTAAAGTTGCCTGCTTATCGGTATTTTACAGGATATATCACGGAGAGTGTGCGATGGAATTACATGATTTAATTCCGCCTTCCCCTTTCCATCACCGGGGGACTAGGCGTAGGCTTGGGTTCCACCCCTATGTTGTGGATATTCCAAAGATTCGCATGAAGCGTTACGCTTCCACATTTATATGGCGAACGGCTATGGAGTGGAATTCCCTGCCTGCAGACTTGTTCCCTGAACGTTATAACTTGGACCTTTTCAAGGCGAGAGTGAATAGGCATTATTTAGGTGTGCATGCTCCATCGTCGACCTCATCGTCACTTTCCATCAGGTGAGATGGAGGTCAAATGCGCACCTATATTTTATAAAAAAAAAAAAAAAAAAATACCTATTTATAAAGGGTTTTTCAACAAGAACTTTGTTTTGTAAATCAAAATAAAACTATACATTTAGATAACAATGATCCAAATTTATATAGCATTAAAAAAGTAAGGTTTGGCAATTATGAATGAAAAATGATATCTAATAAACGTCTGACAAATTATGAACCACAATTACAGATGTCGATTCTTTCTTCAAAGTTTTTAATTAGTTTTTGACAAAATGGTGGGTCTATTTCGTTAATCACTTCACGAATTTTGAGTTTTAAAGCTGCAATCGATTCAATTGGCTCCGTATAGACTCTGTCTTTAACATAACCCCATAAAAAATAATTCAGCGGAGTTAAATCACATGATCTAGCTGACCACTTAACGGCTGAATTCCGTGAAATTATGCGATCGGGAAATTTGATTTGCAATAAATTCATTGTTTCGGTGGCTGTGTGACTTGTGCCGTTGGCATTGGGCCGTTTTTTTTCGAAAATTCGGCTGGAAAAGCGGTTACGGTCAATGGTTTACGCTACCGAGAGATGTTAACAACTTAATTTTGGCCTATTATTGATGATATGGATATCACTAACGTGTGGTTTCAACAAGACGGTGCTACAAGTCAGACAGCCACCGAAACAATCAATTTATTGGAAACCAAATTTCCCGATCGCATAATTGTGTTTTTTTAATCATACATGATTGCAAAACAGACACTTTATGTGTCAAGGCAAAATACTGTTCACCACGCAGGAATATGGCTCTGTACGCGTTTCGAGCATTGAAAATTGGGTAGTCCATGTCCTTTGAGAGCTTTAAAACCTTCGTTTCTTTTCTTCTTTTGTCCTCACTGTTTTCTTTAAATTTTTCGAATGCTTAACAACTTGCAAACACGTATATTCAGTTGATTTTTGACATAACTAAATCTCAATTAGCACAAGTACTAATTAATTAGTACAAGTGATGTGTATCAGATGATTCACATCACTTGACACGAAGAAACCTGTAATTTGTAACCGGATGTCGTAGTCGTGTCGTAACATTCAAAAGGAACTTTCTGAGCTCTAAAGTTTATGATGGTATTGTTTTATTAATATCTATAAAAAGTGCTTCCAAGTACAGGGTTTTAGTTAGAAGTGTTCTTATAGGTTTAAGTGTTTACAATCTTTATGGACACGCTAAGTTTATAGTTCTTATAGGGCGTTCCCAACTTAGCATTCGCTTTGATTTTGTCGTATTGCTTTAGTTCTTAGAAGTTCGATTACTTGAGGTATTTAGGGCAGTGCTCATCGTACAATATTAAAACCTTTTCAAGGAATTAGTTTTACGATAATTTAAACATTTTATTTAAGCACTATAAGTTCAGAAAACTAGAACAATTTACAAAATTTGGAACACCTTTGGCGAACCAAACAAATCTGATTTCAATCCGAAATGTTTTTTTTTTAAATAATTCTTCTGACAGAATATTTTGGAAAGAGAAATTTGTTTTATTGGACGTAAATGGTGTTATGAACTAACTTGCATCTCTCTCTTATTCCAGGCCAACGCTGCATCCAACGAAAATCAGCAAGATGAAAGAGGCTCATCAGTGAGCTCCGTAATCTCTTCCATCACACCGTACAAGGTATCTGGATCGATCTGCACTGCGATCCTTCTTATGCTCGGCTGGACGATACTATCTCATAAACGGTAAATGCACTGACCGTTTTCATAAGCAGTATGGTGCTGTTCTCGCTCAGGAAAGCAGCGTGTTACTAGTAACCTACTGCTTATTTTATTTATTTATTTATTGCATGTCACAAAAACATTCATTACATGTCAACAAGTAAACATATAAATAAATTATGTGACATGTGTCACATGATTATTCCGCACCACGCATTTTTCTATTTCTGTATTAGCGTATGTACCATGTATTCTAAATAATAATCCATTTGATTTTTTTACGATAGACATGATTAATACACGACTTTAGTAAAAGTCGCGAGTTTTTAATGCTTGTCTATTAACGAACGCACAGTTATTCTGATAAGTATTTTATATTATACTTAGCATTAGTATTCGTAATATACTAAAACATCAATGTTTAGCTATTTCCTAACAAATTTCTCGACCTGAAAGACTTTTGAAGTCTGTTAAACCAAATTCTTATTAGATTTAATGGAAATTTATCCAGATCGTAACTCTTATTAGAAGTGTGAAGGTCGAGTAATTCAGTCAGGAGAGTTGTAAATTTATGATTAAGTAACTGTAAGGATTACCATTTATAAGATATTGAAAGACCGTAGTCAGTCCATCACATAAATATAAAAATTGAATCATTCGATTGCTGCTTTGTAATAGTAGAATGAGATAAATTTTAGTTCGTAATATCAGTGGGTAGATTAGATATAAACGCGACTAAGTCGAAATTCGTAAGCGTTGATTAAAAGTAGTATATTTAAGATAATGTTGTAGCGTTTATCATCCCCATGTAATCACCATTATTGTAAGTTAGCTCCTTTAAAACGTGTGACGTGAAGCGGAGTCTCTATTCTTGTATGTGTAACACAATTCTGCCCGAAGATTGGTGAAGCCTTGTGATACATCGTAATATATACATTCACTATATAGTCACAAGGAAATTAGCTCCATGGGCCTTTGATATTCGTGATTTTTTATATGACACGTAGATAACGTAGTAACTAGGGTAAAGTATTTTAACATTTTTTGAAAATCTACTCGTAAGTCTTGCAGTTTAACGTCAATTCTACATTCCGCTTTCGATGTTGAAATATAACCGATAGATTTTAAAGTATACCTACACAACATTTACCTAAGCAAACATTCATGACATAAACTAAGATGTTTTTTTAAATCTTGGTAAGTTTAATAAAATTTTTATTAAATTTTTTAAATAATCGACTGGTTACAGACGTAATTAGGGCAATCAAAAATGAAATGTAACATTTTATTTTAAATAAACTAAAGTCCACGCCTCCACAAATTGTTCCAAAGAGAGCAGCCTAAAAATTATCATCGATTGATCTCATTTTATTATTTTTGTAATGAAAATGTTTATTTTAGAATTAATATTGTAGCGTATTTATAAATAGGACATTTGAATAGACTTTGTGCCAAGTTTCAAATGAAGATTTTATCGAGAGAGGGTCTATTTTGGTATTACGATTAATTTTTGTAAATAAATTACTTTAAGGGTGATTGATAGCGCCGTCATTTCTGTTTTTCAATTGAGTTTATTCAAGATAGAATTACTTGGTTCAGTCAAAGGAAGTAACTTTTTCGGAAAATACTACAGCTTTTACTCTTGATAGCGATTTAATAAACAATCACCGGTTTTGTTGAAAAATATAAACATTTTACATAATAGGGTTGTAACGAAATCAAAAAGCGATTGCGAATTAAGCTAAAGCGAAGTTTAATGCCGTTGCGAATGTTGTGGCCATGCGATATTTTATTTTGTTTTTGGGCAATTTTACTATAAAAGTACAATCGTGATGACATGCTTACGCATGTCACTCAACTTTACGATCACAATCATAATTTTTTAAATTGCTTACCAACATTTGTGTTATTCTCATTTAAATTTACGAATGATTTTAAAACTTTTCGTAATAAATACTTGACTATTTTGAATAAATACATATTCTATACTTCTAAGCAATGCATCTTTTGATATCAATACTAGTAATTTTACATAATTAGGTTACTTTTTTTATTATTTTCGCTAAAAGTAACAAACTTGAAATATTAACGTATCTTTTGCAACATTCTTAATTTTAAATTTTTAAATGTATTTTATTTGTGTATTTTTAACTATTTGAAATATGGTAAAGAAATAAAATTTAAAAAATATAACTCGGTCAGACTTTTCTCTAGATTTCTCTTAAAAAATATCTTACTGAAGGATTTTTCTTTAAGAATTTAAGAAATTAAGAAAGAATTCAATTAACAAATGATAAAAAAATCTTTGAAATTTACGGTAATTTTTCCGTCATTGTACTTTTCAAGTAAAATGCGTCTCTATATTTTTCAATTACATTAGGAATTTAATATTTTTGAAATGATATATTTTCGATAACATTTACATGTTTCCTACTAAGAATTTTCAATATTTAAGACTATGAATTAGCATTATAATTGTAACTACTTTCGTTTCAGCACATTACGTTTACATACGAACTGAGAATTATTATTCAAGATGTTGTTCACGACAGGCAACGTTCCTGAGAAATCGGATAAAATTCGATCTATTCGGAAGCAGTGTCAAATTGAAAGGCAGGTAGTTTAATTTACATATGCGATTTCGTTACAACCCTTTTAAAAGTAACTGTCGTATATTTTGCCTCATAACACATAAGTGTATTCAGTGTATGCGCACTTAAAAAACATTACATGGAACTGGATGCGCATTTCGAAAGAGTGAACGCTGTTGATCGAAAATTCTAATTTGTTAATCTATCCTTGCAGTTTCTCTGACACTCAGCCATCGCTGGGAGTATTAGAGGAGACCGTCTGAAATTGTTACCGCTGCAGTAATGATACGGGCTTTTTATTTGTAATTAATGATTATTTGTAAATACGCAATTACTTTGCTAGTTTATTATTAATTTTAGGTTGTCTGAGGCTCTCGAGTTTGTCTTACAGGGTTCCGTTGAGGACAATTACAATTTGTTTTAAAATAATTGTAAAAACAATTATATATGTCAAGTAACATGAAACGTCAATTGCTATTGTATGGTCCAAACGGAGCTCTGTGAACATTTGATCCGAATTTTTTTCGTCACTAAAGTAAATAAACTGATCAAAATTGCTTTTTTGTCACATTCAACGTGGCATTATTAAAACTTGTCAGAAAGTAATGATAGTTCTAAAATTTACATTACCCGCTGGATTTTATTAAATATTCAATGAACGAAACCATATCTAGATTTTTTTATTGATTTCAATCTTTTAGTAAGCGAAGTATAGCCTGTTAGTATGAAAAATCATATTACTTTTATGATCAAATATTGGAAGTGATTGTAACTCCGTTGAAAAGACAAATTGTAATATAGTGGGATCAAAACATTTGGGAACAAAATTCAGTTTACAGTTTACTTGTTTATTTGAAGACGTTACAAATTAGGATGGATGTGTTCAAATGTGATATTTATTTAGGATTTTTATTAAAATAAAATGAAGTTTTCCTAATGATCTCTTGGAAACTCTTATTTGCTGATTAGTTTTTGCTGCTTTGTGCTAGTGAATGAACGTTTTTTGCATATATTTTGTAACGTGATTGGATACTACTAATTGCCCAATATCCATATTTATTACATCTACACCATCAAGAGTCTTCAATATCCGATCCAGACTCATAAATATGTTCACCTTTCTGGAATGATGAATGCAAACAAAATACTTACTTCACTTCGGCTATTATTTTCTTTTGTTTGTCGATTTCCTTGGAAACCCAGAGCCTGTTACAATTATACTAATAACGACATGAATAATTTTTATAATTAAGCAGTGTATTTAAGCAGCAGCTAATAATTTAAGCTATTTAAGCCTTGTAATGCAATTTTTATGCAATAGGTACATTTATGAGCACAAAGTACAAGCAAATAGAATATGACGATGCATATAAGAGTTTTGTACATAAAATTGGTATGCATTATTGTTCTAAGAGTAACTTTTAGATGAAATTTTCGAAATTTCCATACCTAATAATCGCTTGATATAATAGAATATTCTTATATGCCATAGTACAGAAGACATAAGATACGTAATAAGTACCGGTTGCCAGAAATAACAGCTACCAGCACCAAATTAACTATAGTATAATAATAAGATGACAGGGAATCCACACCAACGAATTAAAAGAGGCACTCCTAAGAACACTCAGATCAGAAATAATTTAGAAAAGCTCATTCCCCATATTGGTCCTTCCGGATATCCAACACGGGTCTTTTCATCCAGTGCCCACAGGGCTAATCACTGAGGTCGTCACCTATATCTTTAGTATAATTATCATTGTCTAAGATACCAATACTGTAAGTTTTTAATAATTTGATAATATCGTATCGTAATTTAACTACACATATCTATCTAAAGTTCAGTTTACAAATAATAATTGTGTGGTTTGCTGTACATTATTCCGTATATACATGATTAATATTAACTATATCCATAGCGTAGTCCGTTCATAATAAGTCGAAATAAGCTGATAAAACAAAATGTGTTTATTGTTTTATATATCGTACCTCCAATGAACAATACGCTATTGTGTTTTGTTTTTCATTTCACGAAATTGTTTTCTTTTTTCGAACTTTGTTTTTTGTTTTTTTTTTACAAAATTCGGGGAGCATAATTAGTAAATAAATATGGCTGTTTACAGAAATAGCAGAAAATTGCCAAAAAATAAAAATAGCATAGAGTTCATTATTTCATTATTATATTCAGGTAGGTATCGATATACCGGCAAACAGACATACCATCCACTTGATAGTGTCGATTAGCTGTCCATTAACGTTTTTGTCACTGAATCTGTCACTTCCTAACCTTCAGTCAGAAACACAGCAAAGGGAGCAATGGGTAAGGTTATTATTACCCAGACGAGTCCTGAACATACATTACTATCAAGAGTGGAATTAAGCAAAAAAAAAATTGCAAATTTGTTCTATTTTTAAACGCACAGGTCTTCTGTACTATATCTGCATAGCGCTGCTTTAAACTGCTTCTATATAACATAATAATTCATAAACATAACTAATCAACTTGTATCGATTTACCGAACTTTAAGCCTATATAATCGTATAATTATTCGTAGTAATAAGTACATTTCTCACTATTTTGTTAAATTCGAACCGTACTTTCATTTATACTTTAAAAAATTACAATGCGGCTCCAAATATTAGTTTGCCATTGTCACTAGTGATTGGATAATCGGATGCTTATTTACGAACAATTCGTAGTATTAAAAAATCCGTTCCTCGCTAACATGGAATGCGCTTTTGTATCGAAAAAACCCCTTACACCGGCATTGACGAAATTATTAAGTATAAAACTATCTAATATCATCATCAAGCCATTTATACGTCGCATGTCTGCGCATGGGTCTCCTCTTAGGCTATGGTTTAGGCCATAGTCCGCTATGCTGGCCCAATGCCGGTTGGGAACTTCACACGTTTTTCAAAGGTTCTGAACCTTCTTCGACGTGCAGGTGTCATCACGATATTTCTTTCACTAAAAAGAACATATATTCGGAAAACTCTGAGGCTAGCCCGGATTGAAAGCACAGTCTGTGCTTGAGAGGTGTTAGATCAAACCATTAGGCTACCAAGGCATGTATCGTAAATACATAGAAGGCAAATAAACATTTTAAATGTAATTTGTAATTTTTAGTAACAATTGAATTAAAATTCATAAGTGAAAAATGTAAAAAAACGGACATCAAAAAGAAATTGTACTTAAATCATTTTTTTACCGAAACCATCGTTTAAATTTGACACTTCTAGTTGTGCATACTATTAAGATCTAAGCGACGTGCTCCTGGCCATCATCAGACCTTTGAAATTTGTACCGAGCCAAAATCGTATGATTTAATTAAAATATCATATTATCCCAAATATAAATTATTAAAACTGATCAGATAGAATAAAACTAAAAGTAAATTAAACGTCAGATCTCAAAAATTTAAAAGATAGGATTACATTAAAATTAACAAATTGTAATAAAATTAACTTCTTCTTCTCTCTATTGCCGCCATATCCGGGCATGCTTATCACAAAAGTGCCGGATATAGAGGCAATCTAGCCTTCCTGCTATGATGGCCAGGTCCGTAATGAGCATCTTTAGAGTATGGTCGTATAAAAACAGTCGGCGCCTGTCGCCGCGAACATACCTGTCGCGCTGCAGGCGCAGTATTATAAGAAGCCGCTTCCACATTTCGCCTAATTTTAAGTATAAAAGCATCCGAATTATCGACCACTAATTATGACTAAACTGGCGTGTAAAATTCTAATTTGATTTTCGTTGGCAATATTCAGTAAAGACGTAAATTATTTACTAATTTAATAGTCGATTTTAGTAAATGTGATTTACTAAGTAAAATATTCTAAAATTGAAACCAACTTTTCCGGAGACCATTGGATTGTAATTTCGGTATGTGCTGTACTACATGTACTACATGGTGTAACTGACGACCTGTGAGCTTAGAATGTACTGGTTTGTCTTCAATAGATGAGAATAGTACTATAGAACGGGATAAGTAGCCTGTAGTTTCAGTGATACCCGTAAGGATTCCTAGGTAAGTCACATCAAAATGTGTTCAGTGGTTACTTATAAGCAAACGGAAGAAAATCTGACTGAAATTTCGAAGCATTGTGTAAACCATAAAGTCATAAACATATTGCCTTAAAACATTTAATGTACGTTACGAGCATTAATATGTAAACTGATAACGAAATTTGAATAAAACTTTTTAACGAATTTGAAAATAAAATCTTTAAATATATTGTTGAAAATTCGTCCATGTTACCAACTTTTTTTTTGTTTGTTTGGGTCATAATACCCAAAAATAAAAGATAAATAATTTTGGTAAAAATTTAATTATATTTTCACTCTGTATTTAAATATTAATACCCGTAACTTTACATTTACTATTCTAATTATTATGTTTTAAGGTTGATATTGAAATGTCATAATCTGTAGTCATTTAATATAAATATTTTTTTATATTTTATCAAGCGCAAAGGTCGCGTTCGGGAATATAATTTTTATTGGAGTCGCTCAAAACGATTGTCAATTGTTTAACTTGGTAGTTGGATCCTTTTTCTTTCTTCTTTATGGTTAGTTACTGTGTAGGACTTTGTTCGTGCTGGTTGATGACATTTATGTCGTTTTATTAAGATTATAGCAAAGGCTGGCAAAGTTTTGAGGGTGTTCTAATCAATAAGAGTAATATTAACTTGGGAGCACTCACGGGAAATAATTAAGAAAAGATCGTTTCTTAAATTTGCCCTACCAGACATCAAACCCGGGATCACCACGTCTAGCAACCACAATGCTAATATCTGGGCTATCGAGACCATGCTAATGCTATAATTTTAGAGTCGAAGAAAAGGTGTCAGCTTTTGTTATGTTTCGAGCACCTAACGCGAACATAAACACGTGGACATTCCATATTCTTCTCCTGGCTGCACTCTTATATTAAAGAGGGATTATGGTTCAACAGTATTGACGTCATACGCTGATAACCTATACAACATACTGACCTACGTATATATCACTATTATTTCTCGATAATATTTAGATGTATGTTCGTAAATTATTTAGTTAAAGTGTGTGATCTTTATTATGTAAATCTATAAACATGGCCTGTATATTTTTAGTTAATCTCTTTGTAGGGTGTTACCTAAGGTCTCAATAGGTAATAAAATAAAATCGCGATTTTTTCATGTCGATTTTCTTTAGGATTGACTCCCATCTGGCAGCAAGCTTCAACACTGTATCCGTGACTGAAGGCATTTCGTCAGTACTCTTCAGCTAGGAGACTTTTAATATAAACGACGTGTTGAAATTCGTTGGCATATGGGTGATGTTGATCAGTAGGAACAATGTAATGTTATTTTTATACCTTGGGTATATTTTATATTGCGGAGCTGAAACGATTTGTATGAAATGTAAATCTTTCTTTGTATGTATTTTTTTATTTAGCTAAAAATTGTTCACCATTATGTAAAATATTATTGGACACTTTTGTACCACCCTGTATTCAACAGTTTAGGTTATTTTTAGTCTAGTTTTTTAGTCATACCAAGTGACTTTACTTTTAAGTTGTTTATGCTATTCTGATCTATATTATTATAATTATTTTTAAATCAACTGCCAATATTATGCCTGTTTTTAATAATTTTAAAATATACTTTTTAATCAATATTTTGGTGTTTTATTTTCACCTGTATATTCCTTGGCAATATGAATAAAGGCCTGTTCATACATACGCATTATTTGCTAAGCGCTACGATTATACATTATAATTTAATTTTATTATGTCAACTGATCACCACTAACTGACTTACGAGCTGTGCGGAGGGTTGAATTTGGTGAAACCTGTTTGCAAAGCAAGTGAAAAGATACCGCGTACCTGGACGGTATAGCGCGAAGTTCCGGTTAAGCCTAGAGATCCTCCTGCAAATACCCGGCGGGATATCGCGCGGTATTTATTCTACCTACTACGGTAGCAAATAACGCTTATATCTGAATAGACCTTTAAGTCAGAGGCAGAAAAAAGTGAACATTATAGGTGGTACAAAATATAAAATTGATTACAAACATCTCCTTTATTTGCTAGTAATTTCACACTGAACTTCAATCAAAATGTAGTAGTTTTAAAGATAAAGATATAATGGCGCGTTTATACGACATGAATTTCATCGTGCTCACCGCGCGCGAGCGAAGAGCGGAATCCGCGGCGGCCGCCGCGCAATCGAAGAGCGGAGTCTACGGCGGCCGCCAGCAGCGACCGCGTGCACGTCAGAGACCGAACTGTCATGGCAAAATACGCTCTATTTCTTTAGCTTTTAGATGGAAGGCACTAGCTTTTCTTTTGTCTACGCGGTCGCCGAGCGGAGTCCGCTCTTCGACTTCGGTCGCGCGAAAACTTTCTCCTCATATATCTGGGCGCTAAGACAATACAGTGGAAATCGACATACGTGTTTGTACGAGGTGAAACAACTACATTTCTTTTATAACGTAGTGTGACGGGACGCACAAGTCGAGCACCTGACGATAAGCTACACGCCTGTCCATAGCAGTTACAGTGCCACTCAGAGCTTTAAGATGCACAGACCTGAGGGGCACTACCAATGCGCCCATCAACCCTGAGACTTAAGTTGACAAGTCCCATGTGCCTGCACATGCAGGTGCCATTGTAGGTACTAACAGCAATAATAAGTTTTATTTAACCAATTTTTTTCTCTAAAACGCATAGTTTTATTTTTAGTAATTCAATGTGACACAATATAATCCTAATACTATCATGGCCATACGTTCTTTTATACAAACATGTGGACGGGATCAGCCGTCAGAGATACAGCGTAATATATTATATTGAATCAATATGTCACGATATCTTCTTTCTCAGTGTTCAGAGGTCACCAAGTTTTTCGAGGACATGTAAGCCCCCAACCTCCATTGGGACAGAGAGGTGGACCATTTCCTGAACCCCTACTTAGAAGGTGACTCGTAATTATCAATGAGACGTTAGGGTTAATGGTAATGATAGAGCTGTTCAATCCGGCCATTACCATTAACTTATTTTT